AGTAAAATCCGACTGCTTAAGCTGCTGTAATAACTCCAATGGAAGAACCACCGACTCAATCCGCCTTCCAACCTGTGATAAGTTCATTTATAGTAGACCATTATCAATGCTAATGAACTATACACCAACGTGGATAATCATATGCATCATTCCACCCCACCCCCACCCGTCACCCCCAAGAGATAAAAAAAAATAACACAGCAGACGGTAATCACTATTAAATAAATAAAACAGAAATAGAATTACACGAAGTAAGAATTATAAACTTCATCAAAATCCAATTAATTTCTTTGCTTAAATTTGATAATCATGATGGATTGCCCAAATATTCGAGAAATCACATTATCATTCCAACATTCAGGAAATAATTCTAGAATAATATTTGTTTGTAACTTGAATCAAAATCCATTCTCCAACATCGTTATTATCGAATCCTACCGCATCAATTTTAATATTAAAAAGTTAATTAAAATTAATTTAACAAGCAGCATTACTTGGATCAAACCAATTCCAAATTTAAAAAAAAAAGTCAGCTAAATTCCAGATCAACCAAAATCTCATATAAAAAAAAACTTAAATTGAGCTTACCAGGCCGCCGCCGATTCTCAAGAGCGCTCTTCTAACACGCGAATCAACGGTCTCAGGTACTCGCATTTGAATCCTCATAAGCTCCCCCACAGTCGTAGGCCGCTTAGACTTGCCTTGGCCCGAGCCTGGCCCGGAACTCGGACTCTTCTTCGAGCCCGATGAAGAGCCCGGCGACTTCAATCCTAAAGCCTTCTTCATCTTACTAGCAGCTGCTGACGTAAGCGAGCGCTGCAACGCGGGCGAGTTAGGCGAGTGGTTGTGGTTATGGTTTTGTCCAGGGGAGTTGTGACTCGGCGAGTCGGAATTGAAGGAGGCGCTAGTGGATAGAGGTTTGGAGGAGGAGGTACGGCATACGGCAAGGAAGACGTCGTAGGCTGTGAGTCGGACGTCCGAATCACTGAGTTGAGAGGCGAGTTGGCCGAGTGGAGATTGGAGATCGGTTGAAGTGAGCTTAGTCGGCATTGGCTGAGGCTGAGTTGGCGGTGGCGGTGGCGTTGACTCTCTCTTTGAATGGCCGAGTGAGAGGTCTCTGAAGAGATGCGCCATTGTTAACAGAGAGAGAGAGAGAGAGAGAGAGAGAGAGAGAGAGAAAGAAGCGATCCGAGTCAGAACATTGGACTATTTGAGAGAGTAAAAACTGGAGAGAAACAGATAGAAGCTGTTTGGAATTTTGTTTTTTTTTTTCAAATTTTTTTTTCTCGGATTTAGACATATGAAAGAGAGGGGGAAAATTAAAAAAAAAAATCGGAGGTTTTATCAAAACATTTATAAGTTTTTAAATTTTAAAAAAACGGCAAATATTAAGTAAAAACTACTAATTTGAAAATTAAGTAGTATTATCGCTTTATCAGCGACGGTGGGTGACAGTGCACGCAACTCAAACGAGAGAGTGAGGCGCGTGAGGCTCGACAACGCTTTTCATGCAATTGGGAAATGACAAAGAAAATGGTGAGAAGAGTATGAAGGAAAGCTGGAAGGAAGATGAAGGGGGCAAAAAGGTTGGATTTTATTAAAAAACAAACGGTGGGATCCTTGATTGGTGGGGTCGGATTGGGACCACGCGCAACCTATTATCACAGAAACACATAGCAACAAACGGCCGAGAATTTTCTTTATTTCTATTTTAATAAATGATGGAAACTGTGATTTGACAGTGCCCAGAAAATCTTCTTGCGTTCTAATTATTTATAAATATTATTAACTGCTAAGATTATAGTGACAGCCCAATTATTTTGATTTATTTACTCCTCTACCTTCTAGCAGCTGGGGCAGCTACAAATCAAAATTTTATTTGATTTATTTACTGTCTACCTTTCCCCCTTTCTCCAGTCAACTACATTATTCTAAAAATAAAATAAACAAGCATGCCAACAATTTACTTGTTTCCCAATTCTCTTCAGATTCCTTTCAAATTAAGTCATAAATTTAAAAAGATAAACTCCATTTTACTCTAAATCCTATTATTATAGTGTACTCAAATCTTATAAATATTTAATTAATTTTTTAATTTTTACTCAAATTCACATTCAAATATCTTAAACACTATTTATTAAATATCCGTACATATTAAATACATAATTAAAATAAATTTAAAATCAATTTTATGCATATTATTAATGAAAACTAAATTAATAAATTAAAATATAAAATCATAATTGTAACAAATAATGAAATTTAGTAAATATTAAATTAATTATTAAAAATTATAAATAAAAAATAATATATATAATTAAAATTTAATATTAAAAATAATTGTTTACAATTAAGTTTCGGTGGTTGATATCATAAGATCACTAAGAATAATAATTTTACTATTCAAATTTGATTACAAAATATTTTAATTTTATTTAATCGAATCAAATAATTTAAGATACTCGATTACAAAATAAACATCCCGATTACCCTTTGTGAAATAAAAATTATCTATAAGATACTAATTGAGAAAAAAAATTATCCTTGTTAGAATTGTATTTGTGATAATAATAATGTGTAAATTTTGCATGTAATAAAATTACAAGAAATGTTCTTGGATTGAATATATATAGAGAGAGAGAGATAGATAAGGTGGGATTTAGATTGTAAGGTGACCCGTTTCCTTGCGTTGGAAACAGAAGAACCAAAGAACATACAAACTGAGCTAGAGGCTAGGTTGCCTTTTGATTAGCTCAAACCAATCAGCCTTTGACACGTTGGTGGCCGGTTGTGGGATTGTAGCGCTACACAATTAGATCAAGTAAAGGCAAGCGAGGAATAAGCTAAAGCCAAAAAAGTGCAGCAAATGGTGATTGGAGGAAAGTAAAGTTTAAGTTTCCCTGTCTTGAATGTCGGCAATGACTAGCAAGTATTAACCACCAATGATTAGGTGATATGTTCATTTTGGAGAATGCTGCATCTTAGGTTGGTGAAATACCATATCTCTTTCTTCTTCTTGGTTAGAACTCCAACTCCAAATACACTCTCTGTCTCATAAATCCAAATGCCATGTTCACATTCCTCATTTCCAGACTCATTGTCTATATTAGACAAGCCAAAAAGAAAAGGACATGAATATAAATATTAATTTCTTGCTTTATTTGTTTACTTTTTTTTAAATTGTGTTTTTCTTCTTATCAGAGCAAAATCATGTAATTGGATAGACCTAATAATGTGTGTTTGTGTGTTTTAAATCGTGTCCTGTAAATATGGATATTAACAATTATATAAATATATATATAAACTCAACATGATTAATTAAATTTATTTAAATATTAAATATGAATACAATTACATTTAATTTAAAAAATAATATGATATGCTTAATAAGTTTATTAAATACATTGGGTGAAGTTATATATATATATATATATATGATACTCCACGATTTATAATCTATTTAAATAATTAACACAATTAAAATTTAAAATATAATTAATATGATTAAATTAAAATACATACAATTACAACAAAAATAAATTCATTATTCAAATTTAAAACAAATAATCATAAAAACAATTATATTCATTAAACATAATAAAAAAATTCACTACTGTTGTCATCAAATTTAAATAAGAATTTAAACAAATCATAAACATGTAAAATAAAAACATTTAAACATTTAATTTTATATCATATTCATGTCATATTATCTCATCATATACAAAATTACCAAATCTATAATTAAATTTAATTCCTCCTCCTTTCCCCTTCCAAGTTCCAATACCTAAAAACAGACTCTTTATTGAAAAGAAAAATCATTATATCAATTGGTCGTTCTTCATTGGCGTTGGTACGAAGCTTTTTCTCCCAATTCTCTTATAATATGGTAATATATCGTTTTCTATACTCACGAAAACCAAGTTATTTAATTTTTTTTCAAATAAAAATAAAAAACATTATCGAATAGAATTTTCTTATGATGTCATTATCTATAATTTTTTTTTTAACTTTTCAAAAGCGTAATTATTTTGTTTTGGATCTTAGTTTAATTAACTTAGCTGGAGCAAGACACGAAGCATTATGGTCATCATTTATTTAAAGCAGAAGGGTTTACATTAATTTATAGCAAGGCAGTTTGGCAATAATTTATGCAGCTGAGTCAGTGCTCCAATAATGAAAGCTCTGCAACAACTGTACGACAACAAGCCACATGCATTTGCTCATGCTTTTTTCTTATGTGCCAACCATGCATTATTATTATTATTATTATTATTATCTAAGAATGATTCTCAAGTCCAACCGCAACATTTTTACATGCTCTCTCCCATTTTAATAATCTCTGCCACGTTTGGTGGCTTAGCCTTTTCTCATGGGAATGACATAAAAGTTAAAATAGAAAAAAATAAATTAATTATTAGATATTGGTAAGTGGCTTGACTGTCATTCAATGTTCTGTTGAGCAATTATAACAATCACACACTTAATTAACATTGGAAATTAATAAGAGCAGTTGCCCCATTAATGTTTTGTTAATCTTGTTACTAAATTGAACTTAATTTACTCACTCAAAATTTCACATTCTTTTGATTTAGATCAATCTAGTGATCTAATGTGAACTTTATATAAAGCAAGTTGTTAACTCAATACAATCGTTGATGATCAATGTTATGACAGCATAATCATTGTATTATTTTTAAATATCACGTAATTAGATTTAATATCACATTATCACATATACATCGTCTTATTACAAATATCATACTAATATAGATAATGAAAAAATTTTAACATTATCAAGAATTGAATTGATTTTAATAATTTTTAAAAATATAAAATTTAATTTTTATAAATAATTATACAAAAATTAAATCTATCATTTTAATAAGATATATGAATTAATTACATAATTTTACTAATAAATATTTTATATTTGATTTGCACAAAAAACTTACATAATCTATAAAAATTCGGAAATGGGTTGTCCCGTTATCAGCCATCAGCTGTGAAGTGACCGGGTGCCATGCTCTGCATAGCTTTCTCTTGGTGGTTTGTTTATTCTACCCTTCAATTCACAGAAGAAACAAAATTTTGGATTACATCTTCATGTCTACACTGGGCGACGACGAGTTAAGCTTAGTTCTCAATTGGGTTCATGACCAAGACCACAGGAAAGCCTTCTCTCAAGTCTGCAAGCAATGGCTGCGAGTGGAAGGCTTAACCCGGTTATCCATTCGCGTTCTTGAACCCGATCTCATTCCCACTTTCATGCCCAGATTCCCAAATTTGCTTTTGTTCGAAACGGCGATGTTTATCTCCAATTCCCACCTTGAATTCGTGGCTAAAAGGTGTCCAAAACTCGAAGTTCTTAACCTTAATCTTAGGAAAACGCGTGAAGAATTCGATGAAATTGATGGGAATTCTGTTTTTGAAGACGTTGGGAATGATGGGATTTGCGCTTTGGCTAATGGGTGTCCTAATTTATCAAAAGTTTTGTTGAGAAAGAGAAAGAATGTAGGCAGCGTTGCCGTTATTTCCCTCGTTAACTTCTTGCAGAATTTGATAACTCTGGATTTAGGAAGGTGTAATCTGGTGGATGACCAAGCTGTTGAAGCAATTGGGTCTTCGAATTCGATACGGGTTTTGAATTTGGGAGCTTGTTCATTGGTTACTGACCATGGATTGGCTGCTTTAGCAACTGGTTATATCTCAAAATCATTGGAAAAATTGGTTCTTGCAGAGTGCGATCGAATTACTGATTCTGGGGTGTCAATGCTGAAGCATATTTGTTGCTTGGAGGAGTTAAATTTAGCTGAATGTGGGCCAAAGATAACAGATTCTGGCGGGGTGGCAGTTTCTTCAATTACAAGTCTTAGGAAATTGAATTTGGCTTGGTTGATTAACTTATCGGATTTCACAGTTATTGCAATTGCTGAGAATTGTGTGAATTTGGTGGCTATTGATTTAACAGGTTGTGAGTTGGTCACTGGAGCAGGTGTCGGAGCATTTGGGAATCATCAGCGTTTGGAGTCTCTGGTGTTGGCTTCTTGCTATAATATTTGTATGGATGATTTGGATATGGTGCTCAGATGCCGGTCATTGAGGGATATTGTGCTTGATAAAGGACTGAGAATGTGGATACCAATGGCAATGCAAGTGAATATCAGCAGGTTTTGTCAGTTGCATTGGAGGTGATGGATGAACTAAAGGGTAAAATGTTTTTGTAGGATAGAATTGGCTTAGATCAAGGTTAGTGCTTCTCGATTTTTGAGCAATTCTTATTTATATGCCATTTTTTACCTCAAATTTTGTATCATTTTTTATATCTTAAAACAAGAAGATTGTCAAAAGATTCCTTTGTCATTGCTTCCTGGAGCAACTGATAGTTTCACTGATTCCTTCAAACATACTTCATTATCTCTTGTTTTGATTCCTTTTTAGCTAAGTAAAATTAATGTCCCAGCGATTTTAAGCGTTCTAAAACTACGTAGGTGGGATTGAGATAAATGTTAGTAGTAAAAATTTCTTTTCTCTGTGAGCTTAAGGCAAGGCAAGGCATTCATGTTCTTGTTGAAGGAAGCTGATAATTTTAGTTTGATGGAAAGCAGAACTAACTGGTTGTGTTGTGAAGCTTTTTGTTTACTTTACTTTGCTAGGTTCATGACACATTCATCAATCCAAAGTATCCCTCTTCTTTTTCCCTGTTCATTTAATTCCATACAAAACACAAGTCAATGGTTGACAATGGTATGTCACGTTCGCCTCCATGCTAAATGATTTCTCCATTACAAAGCCTCTGGGACCTGCTTAAATGGGCAGTTGTTCCTTTAGGTCATGCCCTACTCCACTTTCTCTGTTGTAAGAATAAACTTTATTGCTCCACTCTCAGCTAACAGTTTTGTAGTTGAATTCCCTATTGAAAAGTTTATGTTGACAAAGATGAAGGCTTTGGGTCATTTTGGCCTTTATGTCACCGGTTTTGTTAAGGTCATGCAATTCTGTTAGCATCTTAACATGAACTATGAGGGCAGGTACCTATGGGCCATTGAAGGAGGCTGGTTTCGAGCTTTTCCTGGCTTCTCTTCCATCCTGTAATTAGCTGAGAATGAGTTTTAGATGTTGATTTTGATTGGGAGAATCTGCAGGGGATAACATGTTAAGAACTTAACTCACAAAAGGCTTAAATAATTGAGGATAAAAGTGAAAAACTTTAGTACTACATTCTCTCTGCAATTGATTAATAAAATTTTTTAAAAAATTGTTTGAATTGAATAAATTTAAAATTTAAAAAGTTTATTAAACCAAGCAATTTGATGATGTTTTAGTTGCTTTTGTAAATTTTTCATACCAAACGGGAAAAGAGAGACAAGATTAATATTACTAAAAAAAATATGATACTTGAAAAACCTTTTGAATTATTAAAAATTAAATAAAATTTTATTTTATTTCAATCATGTTTCGATACTTTTATTTTAAATTAAATAAACTATTATAATTAAGAGCTGATTAATTATCATCTCTTAAAATACAATTTGTTAATTAATATTTAGGTGACCTAATGTAGATGGTGAAAATACCACATAATTATTTATTAATGTCACATTTGCATGTCATGTTATTATTTATTATGACATTTCAAGATAACATAAAACTGATAAGTAACATTTTGATAAATAATATTTATTTAAAATTTTTTAAATAATTTATCTCAAAAGAAAAAAACCAACTAATTTGATTTCTTTCACATGGGCTGGGCCTGGGATTAAATTTCCAATTGTTGGCCCTTTATATGCAAATGTAAAGGCTTAAGGCCCCATATTTCGGATGAGGGTCCGTTGGTAGTCCGAGGAAGAGCAACGCAAAACCATCCTCCTATTTTTGTTAAACCCAAAACAAAACCCCCAGTAAAAGGAAAAAGAATAAGCAAAAAATGGGATCATCTTCACCAGTGAGAGCAGTTGGTGCAATTCTCCACAGATTCACGAATGGGGTTCCTTCCAATTCCTTGATTGTTTCTAGAAATGGTCTATTAAAAGGCAGTAGGAAATTGTTATCGTCAGCATCCTCAGTATCGTCGTCGGCTCCATTGTATCAAGCTAACACTAACAGCCATGAGCATCAACTCCGAAGTATATCCACTTTCCCTCCACTTTGCATGGGCCGGCGCTCTTCTAAGATTGCCGGAAGAAAGGTTTCTTATGCCCTATCTCTCAAATTCTCATAAAGTTTATGATTTCAAAATGCTTCTGTCAAAGAAAAAAAATGGTCCTCTGAATGAATGGTAGCTGTTTTATGCTTTAGGTGCCACCCGTTTGATGAAACTCTTGAAAGAAGAAAAATTCAATGGTGATTTGGTTTATGATGTGGAATTAGTTTAATCCTAGGATTAATTCTTTTTTATATATGAGGGTCAAAACTCAAGATCAATGAAATAATTTTATACTGTTTTATTTAATTGCAGGGAGCTCAAGATGCTAAGAAGGCTAAACTCTACTCAAGGATTGGAAAGGAAGTTGTATCTGCGTAAGTTGGTCATTGATACCCGATTATCCCCTGCTTGATTTGCTACATTGACGCAAAAAAGAGTGTTCTAAATTGCTTTTATTAGTCAAGCGGAAGGAAGTTCTTCGGTTGACAAATTTCATGTTTTACAGTTTATTTCTACCGGTTCGTCCTACATTTGTACTCTGCTGATTGTAATAGAGACTGAAATGCTCATAGTTTTTGATTCCTTATGTGATGCAGTGTAAAGAAAGGTGGTCCAAATCCAGTATCAAATACAGTTCTCGCAGCTGTACTTGAGAAAGCCAGGGAACTTGATGTACCCAAGGAAATTTTGGAGCGTAACATCAAGAGAGCTTCGGAGAAAGGGCAAGAGGCTTACATTGAGAAAGTTTACGAGGTTGGTTTGTGAATACTGTCTACTTTATTTATATATTTGCTGCTATAGTGATTAGATGCTCGAATTGTATACAAGGCTGGGTTTTGTTGTTTCTTCAAGCATACTGCTTCTTTCAGGTTTATGGTTATGGTGGAGTTAGCATGGTAGTTGAGGTCTTAACAGATAAAATAACCCGGTCTTGGGCAAATGTTAGGGAGGCAGTCAAGGACTATGGAGGAAAGATAGCAGATCCTGGGTCCGTTATGTTCAAGTTCAGGCGTGTTCGAGTTGTGAATATAAAAGTCACTGATGCTGACAAAGATCAGCTCCTTGCTCTTGCATTAGATGCTGGTGCAGAGGATGTTATTGAGCCTCCAGCATATGAAGATGATAGTGATGAGGATAGGTCAGAGAGGTAATGGCCCCACTGTTTCACACTAAAATCTTTCTACTTACTCTCTCCTTTTCATACTTACTGCATTTTCCGGACGTCTTTTCATTGTGAATTTCTTTAATACTTGCCAGCAATGAACTCCTAACCTTCGTGACATAAATTTAGAGGAATTAATATAGCCATCTTCTCCACATATTTTCCTTTGTCGAACCTAAAAGCTCACTTAAAGAGGTTAAGGGCTATCATTGGCTTTGCCTTAAAACATGTGAAGTGAAATTTGAAAGTGTGGGGAATCTAACCTTTACCTGGTGCACATGAAGTTGCAATGCAAAATTGCTGTTCGTATTAAATGTAAAAGGACTTTTGTTTTCTTTTTAGAATGGATATTTCTGAACTTTTCTGGACAAGAAAATATTTGGACATACAATTGCATGCACATTTCCAATTCCTCTAGAGAAACAGAAGTACGAGGAAGCAAAAATACATCTCTGTTTTTAAATCTACTTATTATGTTTCTGTAAATATTTTACACATGATGTTCTTTGTTATCTGTTGATTCGACTAAACAATGCTTCTATAAGTCTTCCTATTTGATTTCCAATGATATTTCCCTTTCGTTTTCTTTTTCAAATATGGTAAGTTGTTTTGCAACTGGAGCTGGGGGAACTCTAACTCTGATTTTTCCTTGCAGCTATTATAAGATTGTAAGTTCAGCAGAAAACTATGCGACAATACTTTCAAAGCTACGTGATGAAGGAATAAATTTTGAGACTGATAATGGTTCCGAGCTACTTCCAATAACCAACATTGAGGTATTTTTGTTCTCTGTAATGTTGATAATTTCTGTGATCTATCTTTGATTTCTGGTAAATCAGGATCTTCTGCACTTCTATATGGCTGGTGCTGACTGTAGGTATTGCTCAATGCTTAGAACATATTAAACTGCCTACTTTAGTGGTACATCATTGATCTTTTGGTTGGTTTCAGGTCGATGATGAGGCTATGGACTTGAACAAGGAACTTATGTCTAAATTACTTGAACTTGATGATGTCGATGCTGTTTATACTGACCAGAAGTGATATATAGCTGGACCATTTCAGTGATGGAAATGAAGTTTTGATGCTGTGAGTCAGTTAAGTTGTAGTTAGTGCACAAACCACAATCTCGACCGCATTGGTGCGCATTTTAGCTGGGGCTTTCATAAAGGACCTTTATATTCTTCATCTGATTTTCAAGTTTCAATTATCTTTGAAAATGGAAGGAGGAAGAAGAGGTGGGGGATTTCAACTCATAACACAGTTTAAAGAATCTTCTCTTTTATTCTTATTACAAATTCTAAAGAGCTGCCATGGCTGAAACCACTCCTTTTATTATTATTATTTTTATTGTTTTCTTTCTTGAAAATAAATACATCCAATTCCTTTGATCATGAGTTCAGATGATTAAATGCCAATTATTCCCTCTGCTTTAACTCAATTGCATTTCATTTTACAGCTGAGCCAAGATTTCCATTTTACATTTTACATTTTTGACACTAATTAACTGAATATTTTATTATTTTGGCTTATATAAGGTTAAGAATGCTCCAGGGGGTAAAACAATCTCTCTTCACCCCGCTACTTTATATCTTTCACTCCTGGACACTATATATTCCTTTTCTTTTCTTATTGTTCTTTCTGGGAATTACTCCCTATCTATACGTACACCTCACAGTAATGACATCAAAATGCATAATTTTATCACATGACAAGGCTGTCTCCAGTTTTGGGCCTGTCCGTGATGTATGGACCATAATGCACTGGGTAGCTTCTGGTTTGTAAAGAAGGTTCTCTACTGATTTCATTTCTTGGGGACCCAACAGCCATGCAGCCCATATGGTAGACCATAAGGGAGCTTTGCTCTTGCAATTTCTTCGAATGTTGATCCATCCAACAATAAAGCATAGCCACTTCCATTTTTCTCACTAATTAGGGAGATTACAACACCTGCAACATTATAGTATGTTAAGAAATTGGTCAGGATATTTAATTACATGTATCGTTTTGCTAGAATCCATTTCAAGATTACACGATCAGATGAAGAAAACCAGACTTTGATTGGAAAGAATGTAACTAGCTCACCATCATCTTCCTCTGTCGCCCCTGGCCTAGCCACAAAGAATGGTTCGGATGGCACAGCCCCCTCATCATGCCAATTCTTTGCCTTTTTCTTTGCAAAATTAAGCTGCAACACATATAGCATAAATAAAGTTGAGCACGTGTTTTTAAAGGGTTTGTGTCATGTGCATAGGCACATAGCGGCAGCCAGCTAGGTAAATTGATGTAGTCGTTAAAAGGTTTAATTACCTTGGTGAGGGTATTGGGGAAGTGACATGGGCGTTGGGCTCCACAAGCATAAGCGTATCTGTATTTTTTGCCCAAATTGGCAGGGTTGATGCTGCACATGTCCATGCCTCTCCCATGTTCATCTGGGTCCAACGCTGACTCCAGCTTCCCGAATGGACTCCCATCCAATGGAATCGTGAATCTTCCGACCCTGTTAATTATTAATGGATGAATTTCCACCCTCGGATTAATCTCTATATTTGCCTCCAGTCATAATTAGGAAGTCTTATACGCTATATTCAGCTCACGAAAACCATAGGCTCTAAACAGACTAAAGGCTAGTAGTCTACTGCTATGCCTAAGGTTGGGGTGTTTTGATCCTGGCCTACGTCTTTTTTGACCTCGAGGTATATATATGACCCATATTCTTGAAAAGCATGCGTGCAGGATTCGGAGTTTGAACGTGCAATGGTCATTTTGGATTTGAGCATCTCACCAAAATGAAGCAATAAAGAACAAGCAAAGTCTATTAAAACGCCATGAAATTCCCCACACAAACCATCTAAAAATAATAGTAATAATAAAAACCTCCTATGGGGTTTGTTAGGTAACAGGAAGATAGCGATGAAGTAATAAATTCCGTGAGAATAAGAAATTGGTACTAGCAGATTGTGAAGGTTATTATATTATATAGTAGATAGTAGTAATAATACATATACATATATATATAAATATGTATACATACATATATATATATCCTATACCTTGCATCTGGTAGCATGTCCTGGCCGTTGAAAGAGCGGAGATTTTGAAGCCTAAGCTGATCTAGAATGGCAGCGTCGGCATTATGTTCGCAACAATCAGCGATAATAGCAGTCACCCTACCATCTTCATCTTCCTCTTCGTACGCATTGATGAAATGAAATGTCACGAATAATGGCACTTCAACACTCGTCACCTTCAAAAATTTCCACAAACCCTTAACTAACAATTTAAAATGAATAAGACATACATAGAAAAGAAATCTAAGACTGGGGGACTTACGATTTTTCCACTAGCTTTACACATAACATGGAGAAAGGCTTTAGATTCAGGATGCCACTTGAATTTGTACAATGGAGTCGGTTGAGCTTTGAGTAGATTTTGCGCACTGTACCTCAATGGCATTTCAGGCACGATAACATAATGCTCAGTCACTGGAAATGAATGGACCCACCCTGGTGCTGGACCGCCCCTGCAGTTGACCCTTCCGATCACCTTCCTTTCGTTCGTCCCTGGCTCCATTCTCACCACCAAGTATCCAGGGTTCAGCAAATCAGGTAACAGGGTCAAGAATTCTGAGTCTGTCACTATCGGATGAGCCGAGTGTATCAAACCCCCCAGGCTGTCACTATATTCAAACCTCCCAAGTGTTTCCAAGCTGTTCGGGTCAATAACTAATGACCCTTTTTGGGTTTCTGTCAAGCAAACTACACGTCCATCTCCAAGCTTGACAACGCCCGTGTTGGCGTTATCCGTTAAAGAAGCGCCGGAGAAGAGCTTTGCGAGGTCCCCAACATAAGCCATGAAGTTTTCATGTTTAGGAACTTCTGAGAATTCTCGGAAGCAAATCTTTTTGTTTTTCCTTGCAGCCTTATAGGCTTCGGATTCGATTTGGCGGTGACCGGCGATTAACCTGCCGTTCTCGAAGTGGAGCTTGACTAGCGTGGCGTAGCCGTCAAAGAGGTGACGGAAGTTGTAGTCTTCTATGTGCCATATCCCTGGGCCGTTTCTGAGGTACGTACCTTTCTGCATGTCATTTGGGTAGCTTGAATTAAATTAACTAATTCACCATAGAAAAGAAGTATTCTTGTTTAACATTTGATCAACCAACAACTTTTGTTATACTATATTCATATCGTCAAGATCTTATGATTACGTGTGAGTTGTTAAAGAATTTCAAAATTTTATTCTTCTAAATTAATGAAGTATAAATAGTAAGAGTAATGTTATAAATTAATCATACATATATCTGCAAGGAATATTTATGAATTAATTAGTGAAAGAATATACTTGAGAATCACCTTCTGACGAGCAGAATAATGTGTGTATTAGCCTCGGACAGTTGTTTCCCTTGGTTTCTTTGGGTGGAGGGTGGACCATTAGAAAAGGTCCTTTCCAGAGGTTGGAAAAAGAAAAAGAGAGAGAAGAAAAAGAAAAAACAAAGCAAAAAGTAGCAGTGCTCTTAAGTTGCAGTCAAAAGAGCTCGATCGAACCTTTTTATCATGATGAAAAGACAAAAGTAGTTGATGCATAGATTAAGCATTTAAAGGAAAAATGAAGTTCATTGCATGAATTAGATCTTCTCTTTAGCCTTTGAATGATTTGAAGACTTGAAAAAGGAGGGACAGAAGGGCTGTGAAAGTAAACAGGAAGTGACGAGCCTGTTTTTGATCGGAACAGTGATTTTCTGTGTAGGGCCATGATGAAAAGTTTAATGTTTTGCATGTTCGAAAGAAGTAACTAGATACTAGTGTTATAGTTTTCTCACGTACCAGCCATAACGGTATTTCTCCTTGTACAACCAGCTCCCCTTCCCATCGTTCTTGTCTGACACTCGTCCATGCAACGTGATTCTGGTCAGGGACGGTTTCTTTCTCCAGGGATGGAACAATCGCCCGCTTCAATGGACTCGCGACACGGGTTATTGCTAAGCCTTGTCTGTCCTGTTTCCTATCAAAACTAGCCTTGTTCCCCAAGGAAAACCCATCGTTTATATGATTGGATTGATCGAAACCCAACCTAGTTGAGGGTGATACACGGTACCTGCAGATACCTGAAAATGATAGGGAATCCATGCTAGAGAGCTAAAGAGACCAGATATGTATGTAGCTGGGAGAAATTAATAAGGACAAGGTTGAGATATAGTTAAGGGCGAAAACAACAAATGGAATTTATAGGACGGCCTTGGGCCAGGAAAGTTAGAAGCTATAGAAACCTATTGGAATCTTGATTGGTGGAATTCCTTTGCACCACACGACACATGTTTTTTTGTTTGCTTGTTCAAGTATAAAAATTTAATGTTTACAGAACTGCACGTATAGTGATTTGTACGATAAGGATACACGGAGTATAAGTTTTATGGGGTGCAGCAGCAATGTTCAAATGACTGAAGCCACGTGGGGTTCATTTTTCTTCTACGAAAAGGTTCTCATCACTTAGAATTTGTCTTTTTCTTTGTCCTTGGTGACCCGGCAAGAATGGTTTGGTGATGCTAATGTTGCCAAATCTTGATGCTTTCTAGTACTGGATGCCCCTCATTAGAACTCTCAGATTTTGAAAACTTTCGGTGTGCCAGTTGCTGTAATTTTTGTTTTATAATTTACCCAAGAATCTTATAACAATTCCGATCACCAGAACACATGGAAATGGGGAGGGGTAGCTTTGGTTCAAGGGCCTGAATTTAATACCCCAGATTTAAATAATCGAATTCCTTTTATCAATTCACATATATACAATCAATATTTGTTTCATTCTTGCATAGGAATAATCTAATAGGTCATTCTCGACCAAATTAAAAAAGGGTTCATATTGATTTTCTACAGCTGGAGTCAACGATAATCTTCACCGTCATCAAATGGAGAGCTCAGTTTGAGAAGCTATTGCAATTATGGAAAGCATTCCGTCAATGTCGTCTTTCATGGTTGCTTCCGTGCAGCCATTATATATAAGCCAATGATGTTCTACTGTTTCAAGCCTAAGTAGCTAGCTAGGAACTAAGCAAGGTCAAATCTAGCCTAAGAATCTTTCAGGTTGCTCAAAAATTTTGATCTTTTCGGCTTGGTCTCGTTATTTACAGAAAAAACAACAAGAAGCCATGATTAAAGACCATGGGGGAACTGGGATTAATTCATTTTTATACGGCAGCCAAAGGTAAAATAACTCCAAAAACTAAAACTTTTGACTGAAAATCTACAAAATTAACTAATCAGAAGTCCTATATACCTCTCTGAAGTCCAGCGGTTTAGGCCAAACCAGATATAAAATTGAATGTCTCAAAACTTAGGGTCATATGCCTGGAATTGGACAAAGAAGCTCAAGGGGGAATTAAAGAAAGGCACAATGAGGAAACGGTGGAATATCTAACCGTCCAAAGTGGAATACTGAACAAAAGCTTCCCTTTGAATTCCAAAGAAACAATGATTTTCTGCATTGAAAAGAAAGAAAATATATATATATATATATATACACATATACCAAAGTTTCCATGATTCTGTGTTTCATTTTCATTATTTCTCATAGTCCATACTCCTTTCGGAAGGTGGGAACCTCCAAGTTGCTGCTACTTTACAATAATTAGAGTACGTGTAAGGTGACTGACTTGTGATCCGGGGTCCAGGTGTCTGCCACCTAGTCTCATGAAAACGAAAATTAGACTTGAAAATTTTAGAATCTGCCTCTAAATGGCAAGCAAAATCCCTTGGTTTACTACATTTTGCCACCTGAACACGTCATTTTAATCATAGTTGTGGCTGCTGTGGAAAGAAAAAAAGTGTTGTGCTTGGGTCCATGCATGCTTATACAAAACAATCTCAATACATATAGCAGACCTTTAATTACTTTGATAAATGCCCAACAGGAGTGAAGTCTGCCTACTAATCATATTACTATATACGTTTTCCATGTAATTTACAATGCTTTATTCAAACATAAAAAAGTTATCCATTCAAAGATTGGCACTCTGTAACAAAGAAATGAAAAGAAAGCACTGATTTCAATATATAATAGCAGAAAACCAAACGCGAATTCATTTGTGTAGCAGGCTCAGGAATCATCAGGATGATATGAAATATTGTAATAGAAAGATTCAAGTTTCACAAACCGCTCAATTAATTTGTACAAGTTTGAGCTTAGAAAATGGGAATGCATAGATATATCAGACAATATTATTTCAAGCAGCTCTGTGTTGGCCGTACTATCGAAATCTATATCTTCAGCAGTGACAGCAAAAAACATATTAGCCGAAAGGATAACAGTAAGAGTACAAATGCGATACGATGGGAAAGGAAAAACCCAACTTTAATGGGGGAAATTGATTTCTTAAAATCTGTCAATGACCCACTTGCTCTATGTTTGTCTCGACTCTCTTGTTTCATCCATGTTTAATGTGTCTGGTTTTTTGTTATTGGAGGATTACTGTTTCAACTGCACTAAGAAATCAAGACCCTTGTAATTGCTAAGGTCTCTTCATGCCTCTCTCGAATCCTACAATTATCAGTTGAAGAGTGGCGATAATTATTTCATTTGGTGGCAGACAAAATTAGGGTTTCCCCACGACAAGCAACGCCTTCCCTTATTAATTTAATCAAGGGTTAATAAATTACGTAATTAGTGGAGGGTCCGATTCCCATGATTGCAATGAGGACCGGTTGTGAAATGCTGATTCACGTTATTAAGTGTCACAACAACTTCACTGTTGCTTTACATTTACGAGTGTATATATATTCTTCCGAGTTAATTAAGATGCAGTCGAGATAATCCAGGTCGAGTAAGCAACGACTCATCTTCATTTGATTTATCTAAAGTGGAAGGAGAATCCTAAATCTAAGACGATACAAATTGAAAGAAACCAATGGTTCCAAACATTTTCAGGTGCAGATGCTCTTAGAAGAACACAAGATCGATGTCCCATACACCATCTTGTCAGTTTCATTTCGTTGCTTTCCAGCCCTCGCTGTTTGACAATTTGACAGTGATGGCTTGAAACTTAAGCTGCCATCATTACCCTTGACTAAAATTTTAGCCAAAGGGTTGGTTCTCGATTGGCGTTCTTTCACGAATAAATTTGCAGCTGTAGAGATTCATTATATATCATCTAATTACAAGCAAGAAGTAAACAGCAAAACTTGTTCATTAACATTTTACTGTAAAGTCAATTGGTAAACACATTCTGTACGTTTTTTTCCGAGAACCCAAACAGAACTTGCCAATCAGGGTGGCATATTCGGACACTCCACGACAAATATTCAACCTCTATCATGAAACCAAGTACGTGTCCTCGTTGAAAACTTGTAATTTGATATTTAATTAATCAATAATTCAATGGATTTCACCTGTTTTAATTTCCCACCCTTTTAGCATTGAATATGGAGAAATGCGTAATATTCGATTAAAACACAATATATATATATATATATATATATATATATATATATATATATATATAAAGGGTATGAATGAAAGGGCCAGGGATGATCGTGCTTGCTGAGTCAAGTGTTACTTTCTCGCAAAATCTTTATTGCATTACTTATGACAACCAAGTTAGCCATATTTTTCAACCAGAAATCTGACTCATCGTGACGAAAGTTTCAGCTAAGCAATGGCAAAAACAGTTTTGGCCTGTTGGTAATGGACAAACATAAAAAATTACAGAACGTACGGTGGTTCGAAGAATTATATTATATTATAATCAAAAGCTTTGTAGAGAGAGAGAGAGACTTGTATTCCTTATTTGTCCCGTAATCAAAACTGAAATTCTGCCTAAAAAATATGCGCGGAAGTTTCATGTTGTCGTGTTTCATGGTGTAATTAGCTAGATGCTGGAGCTTAAAGCTTTGTACACTAACTGGATGTTCCAAGGCCAAGTATCTTGTCGTTTGAAAGCATTATTGCTCGAGGTTGTCAGAAAATATGCCCATCAAGCTCTGGAATTTTCTAACATATATATATATATATATATAGTTTTTGTTTTGAAATTCTAATTATGTATATATAGTCTTGTCTGTATGTGTTTGTATAAACATTTGATGACAAACATTGATGACAAACATTAAAGCCTGGTTTACGAAATTTGAAGATATGAAACTTGAGCTGTGTAAGCCGAAAAGCTAATATGGTTGCAGATTGAGTTGCTATTCAGAGTTAAAGAGGATGTGCATGCCCTATATATATCTACTGAGTTATTGTGTTCCCAATCCTCCTTAGTTCATATTCTCAATAAGGATGATTTGCCTGCTACTTCCAGAGACTAATTGCAGGGATCTTACGCTCATAGGAAGGGCAGACCTTTTCAATTTGCATCGTGAGCAATGTTGTATAGCTATCAAATGCAAAGAAATTTTTTCGAAAGCTGCATCTTCAAAGTGATTGAGAATTAGGCTGTGAACTTAATATTTACAAGTTATTGATAGGAATCCATAAGGGATTTTCCGGTATTATTTCTACCGTGATTGATTAGAATATATAAATTATACTAATTTGTTAAAGCATTAGATCTTGGCATTACTACTACTGCTACAATATTATTATGAAGATGGACTTGGATCTTCCATTTGCTCCATCAAAGATTCACTGGGCTACTCGCATCATGATATTGGGCTGACCCAAATCATGAGTCTGGGTTTTCTGGACTAAATATTTAAGTTGGTCCTGGAACTATCATTTGCCGATGAAGATTATCTGGTCTGGACCACATTCCAGGATCTGCCGACCATATCTTCTTTCCTAGATCAGCTTAGATCTTAAAAGACAAAGCATTGGGGATTAGAGAAACCTTCAGGCATCGGCGTGGGACGGTGGGAGTCCAACAAAAGAAGCTAGGGGGCAGGGCAGCTCCAGGAGCCTAGTAAAGTTGTGACTCGCAACTCATTAAATCAGTGTCTCAGTCTGTCAATTTTTCGCTAGCCACCCAGCTGTCTATTGTACTCCCATGCATGTAACACCTGAGCTGGTACCCTGGAAAAATCACTTTGGACCAATTGATTAAGACAGTTCTCCGCTCTCTTATCTACCAACTTCTCTCGTTGGTTTAGGCACTTTATTGCTTACTTGGATTACGTTTTAATCCTCACTCACAAAC